TCTTAAATGGAATATGAAAAATACTAGCTATAAAAGGAAATACTAAAAGACTAGACACATTAAAATAAAACACTTCTGTTCATTAAAGTATACTATAGAGATTTGGGAAGGGTTTGTAACATAAAAAAAAACAAAAGTGACCCTGGTTTGCATTATGACACCCAACCCACTGAGCCACACAAGTCAGAGCTCCATTTCACTTTTGAATAATTCTAGAAACCAGTGAAACATGCCAATGGAACTATTTACCTATGCATACCTGACTATTTAGAGTTAGCAAGACCTGAAGAAAACAGACCTGTTACATAAAGAGAAAGTGTCTTGGTTTTACATAAACATCTCCAAAGGCCCAAAAGAATATTCAACTTATCAACTATTTAAGGACTCTAAATATAACAAGTAATATGTCAGGTATTATGGAAAAAGACAAAAAAAAAGAAGGCAGATCTCTGAGGAGTTCTAGTATAAAAACACAAGATTTATTGATTTACTTAATCCTCAACTGAGGATATATTTATTGATTTTAGAGAAAGGGAAGGAGGCAGAGGGAAAGAGAGAGAGAAACATTGATGTGAGAGAGAAACATCAATTGGTCACTTACTGTATGCACTCCAACTGGGGATTGAACCCACAACCTAGATATGTACTGTGACCCAGAATCAAACTTGCTACCTTTTGGTGTATGGGATGATACTCCAACCAACTGAGTTGCAGGCCAGGGTAAGACACAGGTTTATTAAACAAAATAACAGCCATAACAACTACAGAATGATCCCAAGACAGGATATGCTGGGTGGGTTGCAAGAGTAGAGTTACTGAGAAAGAAAATGAGATAGGTATAATGGAGCAGTTAGTCAAAAGCTTTGAATGCCACACTGAAAATTCTAGATTTAAATCTATAGAAAACTATTTTACCTGGATCCACTCCTTTAAAAATTTTTCTTGGATTTAATGATTCCTAGTTATTTTCTTGATCAACTAACCTTAATAAATAATGTCAAATCTGGATAACTAATGTTCTATCTAGTTAAACCAAGAGATGTTCTGTGAAAAGTGAAATTTGACTTCTGTAATATCACCCCAAGTAATTATGAACATGTTCCAAATATCCCCAACAGTCCCTAATAAACCCTTATTAAGCTACCCATACAGCCCTGGCTGATGTGACTCAGTGGATTGAGCACCAGCCTGAGAACCAAAAGGTCACTGGTTCGATTCCCAGTCTAGGGCACATGCCTGGATTTCTGGCCAATTCCCTTTTGGGGCTGTATGAGAGGCAACTGAATCTCTCTCACATTGATGTTTCTCTCCCTATCTTTTCCCCTCCCTTCCCCTCTGTCTAAAAGTAAATAAATAAAAATTTAAAATCTTGAAAAATAAAATAAAATAAACTACCCATACTTATTTTTCAAAATACTTCTTAAACCTCAGAGTTTCAGTTTAGATTATCTCTTGGGACAATCATTTGAAAGAGATCCTACTCTTATTTGCCTCCTCCCCAAAATAATTTTTGAGGCATTAAAAGATATCTAATACCTAACATAGATTCTAGCTCATAGCAGGCTTCTTATTTATTGACCTAAATGGTTAAATTACACCAATATATTAACCTTAGTCATCTCTCTCATAGTTTAGTAGACTTTGATTATATTCTCCCCTCAACTTTTCTCTCTCTAAACTGAAGAAAAAATACAATTAGAAACTCCCTTCATACTTTTGATTAATTTAATTGGGTTTCTGGGGACTTTTATCAGTTGTTAGGTTTTTCTTGAAGAGCAGCCACCAGAATTTCCTATATGACTGTGGATGTAAATCCACTTTTGGTATTTTACATGAAAAAGATAAAAGGTTTTGTTTTGTCATGGTTTTCAACACCCTTCCTTATGACGCACACCATATTCTTGGCTTTCAGGACAACAATCAGAACCGGGCCAACTTCGCAGAATGATCAACAGTGATTTTTTTTCACTCTAACAATCATACTGTGTATTGTCTAACTCAGAGATAGGTGTTTCTCTTGAGATCATCTCAACTACCCAGATAAATGTGTAGGTACTCCGCTACTGCAGCTGAAGAAGAATTATAACTCCAGGTCTGAGTGATTGTATCACTTTTTATCATAGCAACTGTGTCCCCACTGGGGAGGCTTTCCTATAACAATTTCCTTGGAGAACTTTGTTGATCTCTCTGTGTATCCTGACTGCTGTAATATCCTTGTGTACTCTGTTTTAAAAAAGTTTTTAAATTGAGGGATGACAGATGTACATCTTCAGTGATTTCCATACATCCTCAGTGATTTCTAGATCCCTTTCTTGGGTCATAACTGAGCCCATCATATCATAAGCACAGAGAGGTTTGAACAGCCTTTTACAATGACATATATCTGACTGTTTTGCCCATTTGATCTCATGGGATCATCCTGTAATTTATTCTCATCAGTTCGTCTTTGCTCCTTGAAGATAACTGTCGAAAAACCTCAATGTTCTGCCCATTGAAGGGTGTATTGATTTTATCTTTCTTCTTCTCCATGTAAGAGTTACTGTAACAGCAACTGTCTGTGTTGGAAAACTAAAATATAAAAATATGACCTATGTGCCAAATTCCACAAAGCTGTTTACTTCCTTATTTATGAATCAGAATCTGTCAGCACAACTTAAAATCTTGACTGTCAGCAGATACTGCAATTAAATGTCCCTGCAAAGCCAGCAGAGGGTGCACCAGGGCACTAGAAATTTTACCCAAAATGTAGCTGTATCAATTTAACTCTCATAGCCAATCAACTTTTTCTTTTTTTTTTCTTTTTGGTACACTAAAGCTAATATTCTCAAGATAAACTTAAGCTCAATCTGGGCTGAAATTCCTTCAAAGCATGCTCCAATTCTCCTAAAAGTGAAGTTCAGGAAGAATATGGAATAGGTGGTTAAACTTAGTCTGGCCAAAATATATGTGGAGTAGAAGAAAGTGATGCAGATCTGTGTCTTGTGCTTTGGAAAAATTCTACTGTGGAGATCTACCCTACTGTTTCTGAAAAGGCTTCAGGAGGTAGTATGTTATAGGGGAATGGGCATTTAACTGGGAGTCAAGAGATCAATTTCCATTCTAATTTTGACATAGTTGTATGACCTTGGCCAAGTCACTCCTCCCTCAGAGCCTATGTGTTTTCCAAGAGGATCAAACAAAGTGGACTCACGTGGCCACTCACAACTCTAAAAGAAACTCTGACTGCAATTGATGTCAGCAAATGTGAGGAGACAGTATGCATGCTTCTATTGCTCAAAAACATTAGAATAGAAAGAATAAAAGACAGAAGACTGGGAGCTGTATTTAAACCCAGACAGAAGTATTTGCTGTGCCCTACAAAGAATAGGCAACTAAATGCCATTATAGACCTGTGAGAATTCCACCCCATCACAGAAGCCCTCCAGTTCAGCTGTCCTGCTAATCCTTAGTCTGTAAACATGGTTCTGCTCACTCTGAATGCCAAAGAGCCTTGGCCACCACTTGACTAAAGAAGTTCAATTCCTTCATTTTTTCACATAATATTAATGTTCAGCTGCTAGGTATTCTACTGGGCATTAGAGGGGGTGGTGGATAAAGGGAGCCAGAATCCTAGTTAATTATCATTTAGCTACAGTGTTTAAATTTCAAGTATGAGAAGCATGTCTACTGATTCTCTTATTTGATAAGCTGTTGTATAAGTTGGAGTTTGCTAGCAAGATATTTTAAGGCTCAGGTCAACTGTGCAATACACATCATAGAAAAATGTGTCAGCCCTAACATTACAGTATCATCATGAATGTGACACCAGCTCTGGACGGGTGGTCAAAGTAGCATAAATAATGTTTACAGAGTATGACAATGACCTGGGTGTGGTAGTAAATATAGGTCTGGGTCCCTCACCCCAAAGAATTTGTTAGCACAACTTGCCCTCTTCCCCAAGAGGAACGAATTCACTATTACTCCTCAAGCACCTCAAAAGGATTCTTGGATGCTTCTCTTTAATTTCACATAAAACAAAAATCAGAACTCAAGAGAATAGATACTTTAAGTGCACTAAACTTACTTGAATAAAGAGCTAGAAAGAATAGAAAACAAACACGAAAGCCAATAGTTTGCTAACAAGGGCACAAACACCATAAAGACTGAAAAAAAAAACCCACTCAAAACCCAAAAAACTCTTGAGAGATTACTTTTGAGTAATTAATTATTCCATCAGAAGATTACTGTTCTCCAGCCAGCAACAGCAAGGCACTTCACACCCGCCCTCTCCATCCCACTCCCCCGAAACAGTTCGAACCAGCATGCAAAGGGTGAGTTTTATTTCCATAGATTTTTAAAATTGCTCTTCAGAAGTTGTCTATCAAGACAGCATATTTCTACCAGAATTCCTTAGGGGCGCTGATCCTCACTACAACAGCCAGGACAAGCAATCTCAAATTGCAGGTAAGTGTGAACAAACCCACGTTCTGGTCAGCGCACAAGGACCCGCGCTTAAAATGCGATTAAAAGTTGTTTCAACGGGCGTGGAACAGTTATTACAGCTGTTTACAGCTCCAACTCCAAATGAGAGCCTGCTAGTGCTGGCATCAGCTCTGGACACGAAAAAACAAGCACCGCGGGCAGAGAAGCTCACCCAGGAGCAGAAGGGCCAAGCTGCTGCCGTTAGTCGCCAGAGGGGCAGCGCCCGCACCTCCGCGTTGCGGCCGGGTTGGGAGCGCAGCCAACTTTCCCGGAGGCAGCCTGTAGCTGGGGGCGGCAGGGGTGGGCGGGAGCACCCAAGTCTAGGGGTCCTGGGACAGTCTGGGTGAGCTGGGCCGGGGACCAGGGACAACCTGCCCCGGGGCAACTTCTCTCCTGCACGTCCACTCCCTCCCTGGTCCTGCCCTCCAACTTGGCTCAAGGTGTCAGAGTCGTTCCAGGGCCGGTGGGGGAGGGCCCCCGCCCTAACCATAAGGGGAGGGGGCCTCTGCCGCCGCCGCCGCCCCAACTAAGTGACTCACCTGGTGCCCGTCCTGGGAGTCTGGTGGGAGAGTGGTTTCTCCGGGTTCTAGCGGCTGCTGCTGAAGTGACGGCTGCCTGAAGTGGCGGGTGATGGGGCCGTCAGGGTCGAGGCCACCGGGGCTGCTCAGGGTGCCAGAGGTGCCAGGGGTGCCGGGGACGCCGAGGCGGGACTCAGCTCCCCGTTCCCGCCGCAACTCGGAGCGCAACTCTAGGTAGCAGCACAATGTCAGCAGGTGGAGGGCCAGCGAGAGGCCAAAGAAGCCCAGAAAGAGCCGGCAGCTGTTCCCTTCGCCCGCCCGGGCAGGGGCCCCGCGACAGCCGCAGCCCTGGCTCTCCCGCTCCCGCGGCGCTGCCGCGGGCAGGGGATCCCTGCGCTCTACCTCGGGGTAGCCCATGGCCTCCGGAGACGCCCACTCTCTGAGGCCCGGGAGACGCCGCGTCCGCCTCAGCCGTTCACAACCCCTGACAGGCGGCTACTGTCCTGCCATGGGCTGGGGGCTGCAGGGACCGGTTCCTGCGCGAAGGAGGCTGGGCGGGACGGAGCAGGGAGAAGCCGCATGTGCAGCTCCACTCCGAGGGGTGGGAAAGGGAGGAGGAGGGGCGGGAGAGAGGGGTAGCTCGGCCCGCCGAGGGAATCAGGGTGGAGGCCCGGGCCAACACCGCCCCATCCCTCAAACTGCTGCCGGGACGGCCAACCACCGGCCCGCCAAGCCTGAGAGCCCCGCCCCTTGGCGTTACACCCCGGGCCTCCAGCCGCAGGGCGGAGCCTGGGGGTGTGTGGGTTCGCCTCAGTCTGGTGACCCCACCCAGCTCTTCCCGCTCGCCCCATTCCAGTTGGTAATTGCCGCTGTCGTTCATCACTGGACTCCGCCCCAATTTAACCCTTTAGCGCCAGTATGGGGAAGGGGAGGGTAGAAGGGGGAGGCTGAGAAGAATTTGGGAACCTTAGAAAGTAGAGCAAGGAAAAGGAGGCAGGAACTAGTATTAATAGAAATGTTTGCAATTAACTGCAGTTGCTAATAACATCATCCAGTACTTATCTGTTGCTTTCAATCTTCAAAGCGTTTAACAGACGTTAAACTAATTAAAACAGTTCTGGGTTTGGAATGAAACCATGCCTGCTGTGTTTGCAATCCCATAGCGCGCCAAAAGAAAAGGAGACTCAGGAGCCATGGAGCCAAAGGGAGGGAGAATGGGGTGGAATGGAGGCTACCCCACTCCTAGAGTGAGTCTGGGGCTTCAATCTAAGTGATGAAGAAGCCCACCTGTGCCAGGTGGAACAGAACTGCTGTTGCCGCACGCAGGGTGAAACAGTCCCCTAGGATCTTTTGATACATTATCTATCTATTATCTATCTATCTATCTATCTATCTATCTATCTATCTATCTATCTATCTATCTATCATCTATCTATCTATAGATATCGATCTCTTTACAATGTAGACAGTGCTGTATGAGAGAATCCACAACTAGTATAATTTCTCTCCTTCCACCACAGCAGTTCTGAGTGGAGAACATGTGTCCCTAGTGAGCAAATGAGGAAACTCATTTGATCAAATGAGGAAACATCAAAATGATGGCCAGGATGAGGTGTATTTTTACAAGGGTGGTCTGCAGAATGGCCAGACAGTATTGGCATCTCTATTTGCAGGCAACTGTTCTGGCCTCTCCACCCCTCCCTCCTCTCCCTGGAGTAGTCCCTGGGGAAGGTTCAACAAGTCAGCCAAATGTTCCAGATGTACACTGCTGCGACTACAGCATCTTTGACAGCTGCACCAATCAGCAAAGGGTTCATAACCAAAAAGAAAAAGAAAAAAAGAAAAGAAAGAGTGGCAAATGTCAGAACGACAGACCCTGAAGTGAAGGATGGAAAGGATTAGTTCAGTTGCTATTGACAAGACATACTTGTCTGAGATTATAGATAGCTAAATGACCATAGCAGAGGAAATATGTATGCTTCTTGGCCACTATGCACTCCCATTCCCATGTTATGAACAATTAGCAGTTTTATTGACTTGAAGAGGGTAGGCCTATGTGCTAGGCTGGATGGGGGAAAAATAGGAGGAATACAAAAAATGAGAAACAAACAAACAAAAAAAACAGAAACAAAACATATAGTGGGGAGGTAAGTCCAGAGAGCACAGAGGTCAAAATCCTTAAACATATCAGCCACAGACAACTTTTCTTCAGACACTTTGTGAATGGTCTTGGTGCTTTAGAAACATCTTTGTGTCCCCTCATTGACCCTTACCCATGAAATACCAAGTTTGCAAAGAATACCATCATCATGCAGATAAAAACATTAAAAGGTGCATTTAACAGCTAATCTCAAGTGCTGCTTGTTCAGTATGGGAACATACTGACCAGAACTGCCAAGGTGATTTACCTTAATTATCACATCCCAGGACTATTAGAAAGAATGCTAGACTAGGAGTCAGCAGACTTGCCCCTGCCACTGGTTTGCTGGGTCACTCTGAGCAAGTCGCTATGCCTTCTGGGACCTTTGCTTCTCCAATTGTAAAATGAGTAGTTTGAACTTTAACAGCTGTAACATTGTCTTTTATCTGTTTCATCACTGACTGTGCTGACTTGGTCACATACACAGTTCAAAGAGACTGCCCCTTCTTTCCCTAAAGTGAAGAGGAAGAAATAACAGCCATCTTCAGGTAGTGGTGTTCAGGGGCCTTACTGGATTCACCTTTCCATGTTCTTTGTTCCAGGCTTTTAACAGCTTAACTGAGACACTGGGTTACACCATTGCCCTGAGAAGGCCCGACAAGTTGCATTTGACCTGAGACCTCACCAGGGCTTCCAGAGAAAAAACACATGGCTCCATATACAGTAGAAATGATGGAATATACAATCCAGTGAGGGATGGGCATGGTTATTTTTAAAAGTGTTACTTAAGCCCTAGCTGGTGTGGCTCAATGTGAGCACCAGTCTGCGAACTTGAAGGTCACAGGTTTGATTCCTGGTCAGGGTACTACCTGGGTTGCAGGTCAGGTCCTCAGTAAGGGGCGCATGAGAGTCAACCACACATTGATGTTTCTCTCCTTTTCTTTCTCCCTTCTTCCTCCTCTCTTTAAAAATAAATAAATACAATCTTTCTTTTAAAAAATCAGAACGCCTGCTAAGAGTGGATCCATACTTCATATGGCTTCAGTCAGCTAGACAACTGCTCCCCTTGAGACAAGTGTGAGCAACCAAGTTCCACACTGTCATTCCCACCTCCTTCTTCTGGTCTTTATTACTGTTGTTGTAACTCAATTATCTTACCTTTCTGGCCCCATTTACTCTAGAAAAAAACATACATTAAAAATATTAGCTCCTAGCCCTGTCTGGCATAGCTCAGTGGATTGAGTGTGGGCTGCGAACCAAAGTGTCACAGGTTCGATTCCCAGCCAGGGTACATGCCTGGGTTGCAGGCCATAACCCCCAGCAACCGCACATTGATGTTTCTCTCTCTCTCTCTGCCCCTCCCCTCCCTCTCTAAAAATAAATAAGTGAAATCTTAAAAAAAAATTAGCTCCTCAGCATGACCTATAATCTGCCTCTCCAACCTCACCTTCGATCACCCTACAAGGAACTTATACTCTCACAAAGTAAATTTGTTGACACTTCTCGAACTTCTGTGTCTTAGCACAAACTTTTTTTTTTGTCCAGGAATCCCCCTACCTTGAAAACCTGATATATTCTTTAAGAATCAAATCAGGTGTTCCCTCTGGCATGACCCCACAACTCACTTCAAACTGATTTTCCTTTATGCTTTTGCTGCATCCTGAAGAGATCTCAACGATAGCCCTTACCACATTGTTGTTTTGTTGATTTTTCCCATGCTTTCTCACCACTAAAATGTAAGCTCCTTGATGATAAAGACAACAGCTTTTCCAATTCAGTATTCCCAGTACCTAGCATAGCACCTACCGCATAGTAGGTACCAGTAGCGTTTGTCAAATGAATGAGACATGACACGTAGTATTACTATAATCTGGCCTATGTAGAGCACCAAAAAAAGCAGCCCTGGCTGGTGCAGCTCAGTGAATTGACTGCTGGCCTGTGAACCAAACGGTCACCACTTTGATTCCCAGTCAAGGTCCGTGCCTGGGTTGCCAGCCAGGTCCCTAGTGGGGGGCGTGCAAGAGGCAACCACACACTGATGTTTCTCTCCCTCTCTTTCTCCTGCCCTCCCCCTCTCTAAAAATACATAAATAAATAAAACCTTAAAAAAAACTGGGTCAAAGGCTGCCTGTCAGGACCACTTAGGAAGTACCTACTGTGTGCAGAGCTGTAGAACACATTAAGGAAAGATATAAAGGAAATTGAGTCATATGACAGTTGTGCAATTACCATCTTATTTGTGCTAGTGTTAGAGTTGTGGGCAATTCTGAAAAGTAAATAATCCAGCCACTCAAATATCTTTGCTTTGTTGTGCTTCGTTGGATTTCTGTCACATCAAGTTTCCCTTCCTAAGTTTGTTTGTCTGGGCCTAAAATTAAAACCATATCAGTTGACAATACCTGAATAATAAATATTCAAAATGAGCTGACAACCTCTGGTGGAATATGATAAGGAGTTAGGCAGAACTGCTTTTAAATACTGTATTTTGCCACTTATAATGTGCACATTATTGCTCAAATTTTTGAGGGAAAAATAAGGATGCACATTATACATGGGGAGTACCTGAAATATTTTATATTTGTTCTTGTGTTTTGTAATTATTTGTTACATAAAATTTCTTGTATCATAATATGTTAAAAAATAAATGCTGAAATTTCTTTATGATACAAAAACAAGTATCTAAATATAAATAAATAAACAATGGAATTAAAAAATTAAAATGAGCCCTGACTGATGTGGCTCAGTGGATTGAGTGCCAGCCTGTGAACCAAAGGGCTGCCAGTTCAATTCCCAGTCAGGGCACATACCTGGGTTGCAGGCCAGGTCCCCAGTAGGGGGCATGTGAGAGGCAACCACACATTGGCATTTCTCTCCCTCTCTTTCTGCCCTCCTTCCCTTCTCGCTAAAAATAAATAAATAAATAAAATCTTTTTTAAAAAAGAATTAAAATGAAAGATTTTTTTTCCTGAAAATTTGGGCCAAAAACATGGATGCGCATTATACGCAGCAAAATACAGTACCTCTTAGCTCTAGTTAATGCACAGAACAACTCATTGACGCAGACATCATAGTGACAACTCTGACCCAGCTAGGGATACACAGATAGATAGTCCTGAGGAACATGAGCTTAGGACTTGGATTCTGGTTTAAATTCCAGTGTGTTCACTTATGAGCTGTGTGACTCAGGACAAGTCATGTTTGCCCATGTTACAGATCCTCAATTTTCTCATCTGTAAAACAGAGATGACAACACATGCTTTGTCAGATAGCTGTGCTTACATGGGATGCTCATTGTCACAGTGTCTGGCACATAATAAATGCACAGTAAATGTTAGCCCCTGCTGTCTAAGAGACTTCCATCAACAGGAGATGAGAGGAAAAACATGTAACAGTATTCAAACACATGACAGAAATGCAGAAAAGCATCTACGTACTTTGCCCTTGCCAAATTTTGTTGTATTCTTTTTTT